ATAAGTTGCGTGAGACTGAAAGAAAGGAAGAAAGAAGAGAAAGAAAGGAGAGAAAGCTTGCAGGGGATGGGAACGGCAGGAGCTGGAGGGTGGCGAGGAACAAAAGACGAGGTTACTATCGCGTCGTTCTCCTCAATAGGCAAACCCCGCAGCTACACAAGCAGAGCCTCTATATATACTCTGACAACCGAATTGAGTACGCACATTCACCTCAGGAAAAAGGTCTTATTTCCTCAGCCTTCGTTCCTCACACACAAAGCTGGAGCTTAGCCTAAGCTCGAATATAAACTTCTGTGGTTCACACTTAGAAAACCAAAGCTCCCCTCTTATTCCACCTTCTCCCTGTCTTACTTGCACAAAAACACAAAACCCCTCCTTTCATTCCTTCCCTATCACGAGTCGGTGACGTATTTGCATGTGCAGTTGACCAGTTTAGAGACATTAACTGGGAAGTTGTGGCGACTTGTCTCTTGACCTGTAGTAACCTCTGTGTGAACCAAAATGAACTCCCTGCTCCCTTCAGCCTGATAAAATATCAAGGACAGTTTCTCTGGAGACTAGAGGAATATAACAAAGAGAACATATTATTTACTTAAGTTTGTGGCAATGTCAAGTAATTGTTAAATATCAGAAAAAACAGTTTTTGAGAATATGTATATGCTTTACTTTTATTTTCTGGACACTGGGGAACAGATATTAAACTGATACCAGAAACTGTTAGGTAGTAGCCGAGCTGCAGCAGTACATGTATTTTGTGCTGTAAAAACAAGGCAACAGTACTACACTGCCCCCAAGTCTTCAGCATTAAGACTTTTTTGACAAAGAAACACAGTGGATAGGTAAACCTTTTAATATCAGTATAATAAAGGACAGTACTTATGTTCCTTAAAAAACTCCATGAACATACATGATCATATTTTTATGTAAGAAACAGTGTGATAACATCTAAGTAACACCCCAAATTACGTGTTATATGTTATCTGACCTTTCCTCTAGAGAGAATACAAAACCCCGCACACACGCTGCATACCCTTCAGACGGGGAAAGAATAGGACTGGGAACAAGCAGTTAAATTTATCTGTTTAGTCCAGGCAGGACAGCTAAGTGCTAAGTGTATTCCACTCCCACATTGAACATTGTTCATGTTCAATAACACTGAGGTTCAAACTGTACATGGGCATGTACAGTTTGAACTCAGATGTTATGACATGCAGTACATTCAGCAAACTCATGAAGAATACAGAGGGACATTGTTCTGTTGCTGAAGGCTGACATTTAAGACATGGATCTATATAATTACCAGACTAAAATCATTTTCTAAAGAGCTCTTCATTCTTTAAAAGTACAACTTTTCATAATCCATGTACTTTAAACCACCTTCACAGTAGACAGTAGAAGACACATAACCCAGAATGAGATTATTAATGATATGAATATTAGATTGTATAATGTTTAAAGGTCATATTCATCATCTGAAATGTTCTTTGTAAAGAGACACTGTGTAGCCAACTGATGATGATGACTGTTGGACAATTAGTGTGACCGTCAAAGAGTACCAGCTTTCAATGTGTGTTTACATGCTCGTGGGTCTGGGAAATGTCTGTGAATATTTGTATCTCCTAGCTTGTCAACATTTGGACTTGGAACGATATACTGTGCATACAGCTATCTGCCAGCCATCATCATGCCAACATGTCTGTGTGTGTGTGTGTCTCTGCCTCCAGCTCTCCAATATGAAGAGTTGGAAGGATATGCGTAAGGAGATCCTCTATTTGACTGCAAATGCCACAGGCTCTCCAAACCAGATGTACCAGGCTGTGTCACGTATCGTCTGCGGACACCCTGAGGGAGGTGGTCTTAAAATCAAGTCTCTCAACTGGTATGAAGACAATAACTACAAGGCCCTGTTCGGAAACCATGGCAACGACAGCGACAATGAACCTCTTTCCACTTACGACAACTCTTCCAGTGAGTGTCCAAAACTATTGAAAACAACCATTTTTTTTCCTTTTTGCCAATTATTTACCATAGAAGACAGACAAGTTTCAACATTCAGAATTTCACTGTGTGTATTTTCCAGCTCCCTATTGTAACAACATGATGCGAAGCCTGGAGTCCAGTCCCATTTCCAGGATGATCTGGAGAGCTCTGAAGCCTCTGCTCATGGGGAAGATCCTGTACACCCCAGATACTCCAGCAACACAGAGGATCATCCACGAGGTACAACAGGCCCCTCTTATCTGTAAGACCGCCATCAGAATCTTAAATTAAACTCCATTTAATGACACTGAGTGTGCTTGTGTGTGCTGCAGGTTAATAAGACCTTCCAGGAGCTTGGCGTGCTACGGGACCTTGGAGGGATGTGGGTGGAGTTGAAGCCCAAAGTTTGGAACTTCATGGAGAACAGTGAGGAAATGGACTTGGTCAGGGTGAGTCCAGATGCACTGACAACGCTCTCATACACACGTCAATGCTGCGTTCTCAGTGTTTTTCCTGTTTACATGAGGGGTTTAAAGACTGTAATCTCTGCATCTCTGAGACTGAAGTATAATTATGTGTCTGATATGACCACCCAGACTACTTCAATAGGTCTATGCTGTGACTATATTAACAAAATATCCGACTGACCCTGATTGGATGATAAACTGTGGAGAAAGAGGACAGAGGCAAAAAGAAGTCAGTCATTTGTCATACTGGCTGGTGTCCTAAAAATGAGAGCCTAATATACAGAGAGATTAGGTCAACTACAACATTTGATTAATTATAACAAAGCATAGATGAATTGTCAGTGTGGTATTAAAATGAGGGTCTGGCAGCAGTCTGAAAACATAAAGCAAAACAATCATGTAAACCATTTGTTGTCTCTGATCACATCTAACAGAGACAAGCACACAAAGTGACGGCTATCTTGCACACAGGACTGCTTGTTCTCTGTAGATTCATGGGTATAATATGAAACTCTATCAGAATGAGCCATTACCGTTGTGTTCTTAAGAGAAAAGTCTGTATCAGATGGCGTATACTTCTTAACATGGCTCTTCCGCTTGCTTTTTTTTTCACAAGCCACTTTTCCTATGTAAATCACATAAGCACCACTTCCACCTAGTGGTGAGAGATGATTCTGTACAATAACTTGTTGAAGATATATTTGCTGAGACCTGTATATGAAGAGTCATGAACCTCTGAATAACAATTAAATGCACTTTGAAAATCATGAGAGAACATTACATTTAAAGCTCTATTCAGCTGTATTTTGTTCTGTTGAAAATAACAGGGCTTAGATAATATTCTGTTTTGCATCGTATTTGATAAGATAGCGGAAATAGTTTTCTCTGGGAAACTGGCTGATGATAGAGATAATGACTTTGAAAAAAGCCTTGAATTGGGATCTCAGAAAAAACTAATGACAGTGAAATAGGTCACAAGTCACACAAAGGGATACACCAACACACACACACAGGCCGCAGCCGGAATAAAGGTCACAAAATCCAACAAGCCTTAAGGCATACACTGATTATTCAACAGTTTTTTTGTTCACTGTTGTTTGACAACGATTTTACAGCACAAGAGGAAGGTTAATAAGTATTTTAAAGTCTTATTACAGTAAGACTCTGAGGTTCTTGTAAAGTTTTTCTTTATCTGTATCCTCTTTAATATTTTGGGTTTTCTGTATTGTAACATGTACATTGACTCTCTCTAAACAATGTAAACCTTCCTTTTTGCAGACCCTGCTCCAGAATAACGCCAGTGCTGCATTCTTTAATGCCCAGCTCAGTGAGACTGAGTGGCGGGTATCAGATGTGTCAGCCTTCCTGTCCAAGGTCTCAGAGGACCAAAGACCGGCAGGGTCCGCCTATACGTGGAGGGACATTTTCAACGAAACCGACCAGGCCATACAGACCATCTCGCGCTTCATGGAGGTTAGTGTGTCAGTGCAGGATGCACCAACAAACATACAAGGCTAAAAGAAGAAAATGTGAACAAAGTGTGAACAAAGAAATGCGTGATGATGGTGCATTTTTCCAGGAAACATTTTTAGTACATAAAATGACCAACTAATTTTGACTTATAAATACATTACTAGGTCAGTCTGCATATGTAGACGTGTGAAAATATATTACTGTGTAGCAGGAGTGTGCCCATAAACACATCATTGTATGGGTCTTAAGTTGTGTCTGTAAAATAGCTGTTATCTAAAACTTCCAATTAGGTCAAGATGCAAAGAAAAGCTAATGGGAAAATAGGTTAAATGCCACTTTCCCATATAGGTCATCGCATTAAAAAAAACTTCTCTTATCTTCTGTTGTTCTTTAATGCACTTTGAGCTGCATTTAGCTACTGGCACGGCTATTAAAAGTCTTAAAATCCAATGTTCTTTTCCCTGCCTTCCCTCATCAAATTGAATTATGGTTATGCTTAGTCTGTCACTGCTCCCTGTCTCTAAGTTGTGGGTCAGTGTGCCAGAGCCAAGCCTCAGCAATAAGCAACCAGCCTGAAGCTCCTGCCAAATGTTAATCAATGTTCATGCTCTAATGAGTGGGAAATTTCAATTATGATGTCCTTATATACATATAAAATAATAGCAGGGTTCTGTAGGAAATGTCAACTAATAGCCTTGTGATGTACCTCTCATATACACGTATCTGATATATAATGATCAGGTTATCTAAATAAATAATGATGTTTTCCATTCCATAGAGTGATGACTAATGATGAGTTTAATGCAGATTTGAATCCACCTCGTGACATTAAACTCCCCTTAGTCTCGTTATCCCTCTAACCACTGGGGATAATGCAATAAAATGCACAAATACAATACAAATCATTCAGAAAGAGGGAATTTTAAACCATAACTGGAGGTCAATTAGGTAACCACGTCACACAAATATTAAAAACCATGACCTTTCTTTGACTCATTTCTAGCAACTCTGCAAACAACCCTCCGACGTACTGACTGTTTCTTACCCAGGAGATCATATAATGTGTGTAAACTGACATTCCTCACACCAAAAACTATGTCAAGGCCTTAAGTAACCATAAAAAAGCCTGTCCTGCCTGTAGCATTAGGAATGCTGTGTTTTTCATTGTGCTTTCTGAACTCATTGGCTTCTCACACAGTGTGAGGGGATGAGGTACAAGTCAGTTTATGTCAGCTATGGAAGAGGCTAATCTGCAGGAGGTCGCTACAAATCAGCTAAAGAGCTCTGGTGGGGTCCCCAAGGCACATGAGTGTGTGTAACAGGGTATAAAGTTCAATGTTGTTATCAGTTTGAGGACAATATTTGTGAGAGCAGGAATTGATTTGTGCTTAAGAATTGATTAGTTTGTTTGGATCTGTTAACCAATAAAACCATTTTACATTAACATTTGAAGTACTTAAGACAGGCTCTTATTAAGAACAACATAGAAAAAAACACAATGAAGATAGCAGGGGCAGATATGGCTTGGAACTCTCTCTGTCTTTCTTTGACTGAGACACAGACCTTCATACACTAGTAAAATATGCCATAACCCTGCTCTCTTTTCCTCTCAGTGTGTGAACCTGGACAAGCTGGAGCCAGTAGCTAATGAGGAGAGACTGGTCAACAAGTCTATGGGTCTTCTGGACAACCAGAAGTTCTGGGCTGGGATTGTGTTTCCTGACATCGCCCATAACAACAGTACTGACTTGCCCCCTAACGTCAACTATAAAATCCGCATGGACATTGATAATGTGGAGAGGACAAACAAGATTAAAGATGGGTAAGAGGCTGTCTTCAACTGTTCAATCTTTAATTGCAGACTCATTGCAGATTTTGTTCTTATGAACTTACTGATTTTCATCTTTCATCTTTGCAGCTATTGGGACCCCGGTCCCAGGGCAGACCCCTTCGAGGACCTTCGGTACATCTGGGGTGGATTTTCTTACCTACAGGACGTCATTGAGCAGGGAATCATCAGAGCCATCACTGGCACCAAGGAGAAGACAGGCATCTACATTCAGCAGATGCCCTACCCCTGCTATGTTGATGACATGTAAGTGAGACTAATGGCACCTTTCACTGTACAGTGACTTTACAAGGTATGTAACCAAATGTTCTCACTTTTTATCACAGTTTCCTGCGGGTGATGAGTCGGTCAATGCCTCTCTTCATGACCTTGGCATGGATGTACTCGGTAGCCATCATCATCAAGGGCGTGGTATATGAGAAGGAGGCCCGACTCAGGGAGACCATGAGGATCATGGGACTGAACAACGGCACCCTGTGGCTCAGCTGGTTCATCAGCAGTTTAATCCCGCTCCTGATCAGCGCCAGCTTGTTGGTGATGTTACTGAAGGTTAGTGTTGCCACAGTCACAAACACATACACGTGTATACACTTTGTCATCGTGCAGGAATGTCAGCAAATTGTAGAAAACAAGTGAACATACTCACACTGATCATTGCTGATGTTTATACTCAAATCATTTGACATGATAGTCACTCTGTTTCTCCATGATCACTTCATTGTCTAGAAATGTCCTTAAATCGTGGAAAAGAAGTGATATCATACTGCTGTAACCAGGAAACTATTTCATCCTCTTTCTCTTTTTTCCCTGTCACCTTTCTCAGATGGGCAACCTACTGCCTTACAGTGACCCAGGAGTGGTGTTTCTTTTCCTGGGGTCCTTTGGCGTAGTAACCATCATGCAGTGTTTCCTCATCAGCACCCTGTTCTCTCGTGCCAACTTGGCAGCTGCCTGCGGTGGCATCATATACTTCACCCTCTACTTGCCCTACGTGCTGTGCGTTGCCTGGCAAGACTATGTGGGCTTTGGAGCAAAAGTTGTAGTGGTGCGTAGAAGAAATTTAATTATACACACATGAATACATGCAGAAATACATACATTTTGTGATGAATGTTGTGTTGTTGAGATTTTACCCTCACATCTATGTCTAGAAATCTAATCTCTTCATTGCCACATAGTGATCTAAAAAGGTCTCTAGTATTCTTTTAAATGGACCTACGTGTCCAAAAAATGACATCTACATACATTCCCTATCCAAAGTTTAGCTCTGCTAATATCTGTCTTCTCTGTTCTTCTCACAGAGTCTGCTGTCTCCTGTGGCTTTTGGTTTTGGCTGTGAGTACTTTGCCCTGTTTGAGGAGCAAGGGGTGGGCATCCAGTGGTCAAACCTGCTTGCCAGCCCTCTGGAGGAAGACAGCTACAACCTGACCACCTCTATCTGCCTCATGCTGTTTGACGCCGTGCTCTACGGAATAATGACCTGGTATATCGAAGCTGTGTTCCCTGGTAAGAGATTAAATTGCTAAATCAATCATGTACTGTTAAATAATGCAGAGTATTATGAGTTGTTTTAGGTTGGCGGACAGGACTGAAAACAAAACATTTCACTCTATTCCAGGTCAGTACGGGATCCCCAGGCCTTGGTATTTCCCTTTCACTAGAACATACTGGTGCGGAGAGAAAGAGAACAAGAACCTCTCCACCCCTATGTCAAAGAAGGGCAACGCTGAAGGTATAATCATTATTACTAATATCAATTGTCTTTATGTTTATGGAAGAATTTTCAGATATAAATAAATAGATGATACATTTACCTTTATGTATTTTTGAACCTGAGCTTGTGTCATGGCTAAAATGCTGTTGTCTATGTCTTTCTTTTTCCCCCAGCTGTGTGTATTGAGGAGGAGCCGGGCCACATCGAGCCAGGTGTTTACATTGAGAATCTGGTGAAGGTCTACAGCAATGGAAACAAGCTGGCTGTAGACGGACTGTCCCTGAGGTTCTATAACGGACAGATAACCTCCTTCCTTGGCCACAATGGAGCTGGCAAGACCACAACAATGTAAGATACACATTATCTGCAAAACACCTACAGTACTGCTAAGTTTAACTGAGCTGAGCGTCTAAAACTAGTTAAGAGATTTTGAAGATGAGATGGTGACTGTTGTGTCCCTGCCTTCTTTTCTGATAGGTCAATCCTGACAGGGTTGTTTCCACCCACTTCTGGTACAGCCTACATCCTCGGCAAGGACATCCGCACTGAACTCAGCACCATCCGGCAGAATCTGGGCGTCTGTCCTCAGCACAACGTACTATTTAGCATGTGCGTGAGCTTTCAAATCTCAGTATCTTAAGATCTCAACATCAAGAAGGGAATTCTTTGCACACTTGTAGCCTCTTGTGGTGATTGTGTGATTTGTTGTTGTAATGCAGGCTGACAGTGGAGGAACACATCTGGTTCTACGGCCGTCTGAAGGGGCTGCCAGAGGAGATGGTGAAGGCTGAGATGGAACAAATTGTGAACGATGTCGGACTGCCCCACAAACGACAGTCCCGCACCAATGCGCTGTCTGGTCAGTTTGATTATTTTACTTTTTTGTCACCTTTTGTTAATTTGGAGAAAGAAATATTGAACATGGATGTAGGTTTTACATGAAAACTGTCATTCTGACCTGTTCTTCTTATTGTCTTTGTAGGAGGCATGCAAAGGAAGCTGTCAGTGGCCCTGGCTTTTGTTGGGGGCTCCAAAGTTGTAATCCTGGATGAACCTACTGCTGGGGTCGATCCCTATGCGCGCAGGGGTATCTGGGACCTGCTGCTTAAATACAGACAAGGTAAATAGGACTGATAGTTAGTTTGTAGTAATATGATAGTTATTAATATTTCCAATATTTAAATATATTTAATTCTGTAGTTTGACACTTGAATGATTTTATTCCTCTGTCAGGCCGCACCATCATCCTGTCCACTCACCACATGGATGAGGCTGACATCCTGGGTGACCGCATTGCCATCATTTCCCACGGCAAGCTGTGCTGCGTAGGCTCCTCGCTCTTCCTGAAGACCCATCTGGGCACAGGCTACTACCTGACCCTGGTCAAGAGAGACTATGACTTGACTCTTCAGTCCTGCAGGAATTCTGCCAGCACAGTCTCATACAGCAAGAAGCCAGAGAAGGTAAAAGAGATATCATGGAAAACATGTGTTTTTAAAAGATACAAAAGAAGTAGTCTCGCTTCCAGAGCCGAAAGTTACTTTGTCTTAGCTAACAAGAGAGGATTTTCAGGAAGGACGGAGATTTAATCTTTCTTTTACCCTCTTTGTCTTTGTCTTTAGGAGGACAATGTATCAGAGAGCAGTTCGGATGCTGGACTGGGCAGTGAACCAGAGAGTGAAACCACCACTATTGGTAAGAACTGACACTCAATTTTTAACTTTAAAGGTGGATGAGTTTATTCCTGTAAAATTAACTTTGCATATAAAATGTCGATATTGTGTTATTCCCTCTCACTAACTTCTCACTCTTTCTGACGATTTTGTCCCTACAGATGTGTCTCTCATCTCCAACGTGATATTCAAGCATGTCCCCGAGGCTCGCATGGTTGAGGACCTTGGCCATGAACTCACCTATGTCTTGCCCTACCAGTCAGCTAAAGACGGAGCCTTTGTAGAGCTCTTCCATGAGCTGGATGACAGACTCACCGACCTGGGAATATCCAGCTATGGAATATCTGATACCACACTGGAGGAGGTGAGGAGCAATAAAAAGTTTACACACCTTTTTGTCTCTTCTTTTTATTTTCTGTTTGATTTATTGTTTATTTTCTTCTGCCAATGTTCTAATCGCATGTCTTCCAACTGATCAGATCTTCCTGAAAGTTGCAGAGGACAGTGGAGTGGATTCAGTTGAGCTTTCAGGTGAGATTTGCATATTTTTTGGATTAGCAGAAAGAATCTGAATTATTGCAGGAGCTGTCTTTAAACAAAACAGAAGACTTGAAACTTGAAAGATTGTTTAAATGAACTCTCCTGTGGCTGCAGATGGAGTCGTGCCGACCAGGACTCGCCGCCATCATGCATTTGGAGACCACCAGAGCTGCCTGAAGCCCTTCACTGAGGACGACTTTGATTTCAACGACTCTGAAGGTGACCCAGGTAGAACTGCACTACCCAGCATGCAGTGCAATGATAGCAACATTCTTGTCACTATCATTGCTGTTACTCTTTGTTTGTACCCAGAGGTGTATTTCACCAACAATGTACATAGAAAATTGGAAGGCATATGTCACATTTGAGAACAGTTTCTAATGAACTGAACTGAAATCAGTTGTTTTGTGCCAGTAAAATGCAGGCACTCAGTTCAGTTTATTAGCAAATCAAGCAACAGACTTACAATGTTGCAAATTTGCTCACATGTATCATGGTGTTTGTGTCCAGAATCCCGAGAGACTGACTGGCTCAGTGGAACAGATGGCAAAGGTTCATACCAGGTCAAAGGCTGGAGTCTGAAGAGACAGCAGTTTGTTGCACTACTGTGGAAACGGTTCCTCTACGCTCGACGCTCCAGGAAAGGCTTCTTTGCTCAGGTATACTGAAGCTATTATGATAAACATGTATTGTAAATTGTAAAAAGAGGTAATCAATGTAGGTCGTTCTGCCTTGAATCTACCATACAGTGTTTCACAACATAATTTCCCTGTTTCATGTGTCATGCAAGTTAGTTGTAATAAATTGTCATGGCGTTGTTTTTCAGATTGTTCTTCCGGCAGTGTTTGTGTGTATTGCCCTGGTGTTCAGTCTGATTGTTCCTCCATTTGGAAAGTACCCAAGTCTGGCTCTGGATCCAAGCATGTATGGAGAACAGTTTAACTTCATCAGGTGAGATATTGCATGTTCCTCCTTTTCATCAATTTATCAAATAACAAAAAATAGATTTTTCTGCTCATTTTATACATTCTTGACATTATATTAGATAATTATCAGTAAAATCTATGTTTAGTCTTCATTCTGTAGGTATTTCTACCTACAAAGTGCTCAACTCATTAATTAAAAGGTTACCTAACTGTACTAGTGTTTGCATGTTACCTAACTGATGTATTTATAACTCACCGGCTTAACAGCTGAACGCAGTTGTTAAGTAACTGTGAAACTCAAAATAAAAAAAGCAAAAAAATTCTAAGATATTATAATTAACTGAAGGTATTATATATGATAATATATGTATTATTAAAGGCAATGGGTTCTCTGTGTCTCTGTAGTAATGACTTACCTGAGGACCCTCACATCAACAAACTACTAGGAGCTCTCACAGAAAAACCAGGATTTGGAACTCGCTGCATGGAAGGAGAACCCATACCGTGAGTTTTGACAAAAATGAAATAAATAAATAAATATATGTAGACCTTAAATATGGTGTGCATAAAATGGAGATTTGGAGTTAAATATAAACATGTTTTTCTCTGTGCTCCAGGGACACTCACTGTACAGCAATTGAAGATGAGTGGTCGGTCCCGCCAGTCTCCCAAAGTGTGAAGGACATGTTCGACAAAGGCAATTGGTCCATGGAGAATCCCTCACCCCTATGTGAGTGCAGCTGTGGAGGACGCAAGAGGATGCTTCCCGAGTGTCCTGCTGGTGCTGGGGGACTTCCACCACCACAGGTTGGTGATACCACAAAGTTGAAACTAAAGTGTAATGGGGGACTCTCCTCCTTCTTCTCTCTTGCACACACAAATACAAGTAAAGTGATAATGCTGCACAAAAGAACACAATTCTAATGAACTGTTGTGTCTGTTTGCGTATCCAGAAGAAGATCAGTGACAAAGACACTCTTCAGAATCTGACCGGCAGAAACGTCTCAGACTATCTGGTGAAAACCTATGCGCAGATCATTGGCCAAAAGGCATCGCATCATTTAACATTAATTTAAATTGTTGTTTATTCTTGCCTGCTATTATTTCTCATTCAAAGGGGCATTAAGCATTGAATCATTCATTTTTTTTTCTTCTCTTTCAGCCTGAAGAACAAGATTTGGGTCAATGAATTCAGGTACATTATCAGACATGATCCATCTTGAGCTTATTTGTCAATAATATGCACCTGAGTGCCTCTCTGCTGTCTCACTCGCTGATATTAAAATGATTGTTCTCTATACAGATACGGTGGATTTTCATTGGGCGCCAGGAGTTCTCAGCTTCTGTCCCACACGGATGAAATCGATGATGCAATCGCTCAGTTGAGGAGACGCTTCCATCTAGAGACAGTAAGAGATTTCATTACAGTTTTATTTCACATGCTGCACCAAGCTAATGCACAAGAAAAGCTCATCAATGTAGCCAGTTTTACTACTGTGGTTTCAATTACTCAGGGGTATGACACAAGCTGCTGTATACAGCAGCTCATTTCTACATTTTTAGGTTTTTATGTATTCCAACTGTAGAGGTACTACTCTGGATAGACTTGCAGGTTTGAACAGTGTCAGTTTACCCGTGTGCTAAAGGCGACTCTCTCTCCCTCCCTCTCCCTCCCTTCTTTCTCTGCCTCTCCCACCCTCCAGGGTACTGCAGCGGATCGTTTTTTTCACAGTCTCTCCAGTTTTATCCAAGGATTGGACACCAAGAATAACGTCAAGGTTAGCACACACAAACACACACTGGTTATACAACAGCACATGGCTTTGTAGGTTACCGTCAAGCTTTTTACCAAATTCTTTAACAATGCTGCTGTGCACCCATTACACCCATGTGCGTCACTCACTTTTTTCATATTGTGTAATTTGATTGCATAATAATTGTTTTTTCTTCTGTGAATTTCTCTGAATTTGTATCAACTTTGTTTAGGAGACAACATTGAGGAAAAAACATAATTTTGGACATTACATTGTCACATTTTAGTCATGTGGGTAATGGTTTTATCCAGAGCAACTAGCTGAAAAAGCTCTAATTCCTCAATTCCACCACAAAAAAACCCAAAAGCAACCAGATCTGAATAAAAAGATCAAAACCTGGAAAGAAATAAGACAGAAGGGAAGGGGAAGAAATCAAAAGAAGGGCTAAAGCGGGAGACAGAACCGAGAGGATAACATATATTTACTTAAGACATACTGTAATCTTTAGTCTCTTGCAGACTTGTGGCACTGAGCTGATCACCAAGCTACTAATTTACTCCCAGCCTACTTTGTATGTACTCTGAGGTTACTGAAACTAAAATGCCTGCCTCTCTCTCTCCAGATTTGGTTCAACAACAAGGGCTGGCACAGCATTGGTTCTTTCCTCAATGTGATGAACAATGGCATCCTACGGGCAAGTCTGCCAGCCAGCAAAGACCCCACAAAGTTTGGCATCACTGCCTTCAATCACCCGCTCAACCTCACCAAGGAGCAGCTGTCACAGGTCGCACTGTGAGTATTACTCTTAATACAGTGATACATTTCAAAACTATAACATAATCTCTTTTTTAAGAAACATCTCCTCACATTCTCATGACTTCCTTTGCTCTGTTCCCCCCTCTATCTCAGGATGACGACATCAGTAGATGTGTTGGTTTCCATCTGCGTGATCTTCGCCATGTCTTTCGTTCCTGCCAGCTTTGTGGTCTTCCTCATCCAGGAGAGAGTGAACAAGGCCAAACACATGCAGTTCATCAGCGGAGTGCAGCCTTTACTCTATTGGCTGGCCAACTTCATTTGGGATATGGTGAGACATTTCAGTCGAGCACCAGTGGCTCCTCTCCAAACTATATTAGAAATAGAGAAATGTCCCCATATATCAGGACATAATGCAGTTATATAATATCATTATCTTAAAACTTACCAAAGCTTCTGTTTCCCCCTCCCTCTCTTGTCTCTTGCAGTGTAACTACATCGTCCCAGCCACGCTAGTCATCATCATCTTTGTGTGTTTCCAACAAGACGCCTACGTCTCCTCCACCAATCTGCCTGTGCTGGCCCTGCTGCTGCTGCTCTACGGGTACGCTTGACAGACATTCAGTGTCTTTGGCTCATACTTGGCTCTTTGTTTTCTCAGTTTCTCTAACCTTATCTAAAATTATCTTTGTATCTTTTCCCAGATGGTCAATCACTCCTCTGATGTACCCAGCCTCGTTCTTCTTTAAGATCCCCAGCACGGCCTACGTGGTTCTGACCAGCGTTAACATACTGATTGGAATCAACGGCAGCGTCTCCACATTTGTACTGGAGTTGTTCGGAAGCAATGTAAATAAAAAGTCACTTCTGATTCAGATAGTTAGAGTAGCAGTAGTTTGATTGATTGTTGATTCAAATAGTGTAGAGAAAGAGAGAGATTTCTGAATACAGACTGAATGCATGAATATTTACTGTAAATATGACTTTATTCCCATTTAAGGAAATCGGTGGTATCAACGACATCCTGAAGAACGTGTTCCTCATCTTCCCTCACTTCTGTCTGGGCAGAGGACTGATTGATATGGTGAAGAATCAAGCGATGGCTGACGCTTTGGAGAGATTTGGTAATTATAAGCAGGCTTTTACTAACTACTGCAAATGTATCCTAGTTTGTTTTAAAATTTTAATCAAAGATGCAGTTTCAAAATGTTTTTAAAATGTCTCTTCTCTGGTTCTGGTTGTGTCTCTGTAGGGGAAAACCGCTTCCGCTCCCCTCTGGCCTGGGACATGGTGGGAAAGAACCTGTTTGCTATGGCCATAGAAGGCTTGATCTTCTTCATCATCACCGTCCTCATTCAGTACCGCTTCTGCTTCAAGGCCAGGTGGGTGAAACCTTCAAGACACGTGTGCGAAAACAATCACTCCATAGTTTATTGTATAACACAGCATCCATTACCTAAGATGTCATAGCTCAAAACAATTAGGGGATTTGGATTTGAATTCCCTCTGGATTCTCAACTAAAGCCTGTCCTATAAGCCTGTCTTGAATGTGACCTCTCCTTATTCTGCCGCCTGTGTCCTTCCAGGTCATCTATCAGTCACCTGAAGCCTATTGGAGAAGAAGACGAGGATGTGGCCAGAGAGCGACAGAGGATCCTGAGTGGAGCAGGACAGTCGGACATCCTGGAGCTCAGACAGCTCACCAAGATTTACAAGCGGAAACAGAAGCCAGCAGTGGATCGGTTGTGTATCGGCATCCCCCCTGGAGAGGTACGGGCTGGACAACATCGATCAAACTTTCTTTAGTACAGGAAAACAGTTTGTGTATCAGATTTCAGCTAATATGATGAATGTGCAAGACACATAATCCCCATATCCTGGTCCTCGTGTTGACATGTTTTTCTTCTCCTGCAGTGCTTTGGTTTGCTGGGTGTGAATGGAGCAGGGAAAACCAGCACCTTTAAAATGCTGACAGGAGACTCTGTGGTCACCAGTGGAGAGGCCTACCTGGCTGGCAAGAGGTAAGCATTTTAAAATATACAATACATCCAATTATTTTATTTTTTCATTTGTAATTAGCCTTTGTGAGAAAACATTCAATACAAGTAAAAGTTTTGCTTAAAATATATATTTTTTGCTTTCTGTAAAGCTTATTTACACGCTTGTCTGTGTGTGTATCTCACTCCAGTGTAAATACAGAGATAGATGAGGTGCATCAGAACATGGGCTACTGTCCTCAGTTTGATGCCATCAACGACCTGCTGACCGGCAGAGAACACCTCGAGTTTTACGCCATCCTGAGAGGAGTGCCTGAGAAGGAAGTCTGTGAGGTCAGTAACAAACAAACCTGCTGTATTTACTATGACATACTGTATTGGACTGTTCTACTCCACTGAGGCATTATATGAGATATTGAAAACTTCATTCTGTCCACTAGGTGGCAGAGTGGGGCATCCGGAAGCTGGGCTTGGTCAAATATGTGGACAAGGCAGCGGGCAGCTACAGTGGAGGAAACATGAGGAAACTGTCCACTGCCATCGCTCTCATAGGAGGACCACCTGTAGTCTTTCTGGTCAGTGAAAATGTTCAAACATACACAAATATGCTGAATTATTTTGCATAAAGCAGGACAGGAGGGTGACCCACACGTTCTTGAAGACGATGGATTAAGTGTTCAACAGCAGCTGAGTATCTGTTGTTTTCTGTTCACAGGATGAACCAACTACAGGCATGGACCCTAAGGCACGCCGTGCTCTGTGGAACGCAATACTGAGCATCATCAAAGAGGGACGATCTGTAGTCCTGACCTCCCACAGGTTAGACTGGGCATTTGAATTACATCATTACAACATCCTATTAACTATTATAAATTTGTGTGTTTAGCTTAACATGACAAAACTCATCCTGGTGTGCTTTTTACAGCATGGAGGAGTGTGAAGCACTCTGCACAAGAATGGCCATCATGGTCAACGGCAGGTTCCGCTGTTTGGGCAGTGTGCAGCACCTCAAAAATAGGTGAGAATATACGCCAGACTAGTATTTCAAAAACTTTCACACGCACAAGAAATGAAAAAATACTAGTTTTCTCCAGATTATTGTTTAAACAATTCCGTTGAACGAAATGTGCTTTGTCATGTTCTTATCAGGTTTGGTGATGGCTACACCATCATCCTGCGGGTGGCTGGCCCAGACCCAGACCTTCGGCCGGTGATGGGGTTCATCGAGCGGGAGCTGCCTGGCAGCACACTGAAGGAGAAACACCGTAACATGCTGCAGTACCAGCTGCCCTCCTCCCTAACTTCCCTCGCCCGCATCTTCTCCCTGCTCTCTAAAAACAAGGAGGCGCTCAGCATAGAAGATTACTCCGTCTCCCAGACAACTTTAGACCAAGTAAGCAAGAGCACCCAAGGCTCTGACGACTAAAACCATATTGTGATTTTACTTTAGGTTAAGTCTAATTCCTCCTTCCTCTTCTTTTTCCCTCTCGCAGGTGTTTGTAAATTTCGCCAAGGACCAAAGTGATGAAGACCACCTGAAAGACATCCATCTGAACAAGCGGGACGCTGTGGTAGTGGACATTTCCCAGCTAAACTCTTTCCTCACAGACAACAAGACCAGGGAGAGCTGCGTCTGATTGACGATGAACATACCATCAGTGGGAGTTGCTATGCTTCACCCAACCTCCCCATCACACAAAATATGGACCACTAACCTGCGGGGGAGACAGACTATGTTAATTTTTTTTATTTCTATTTTTTAGTATTTTTTAATTGTTATCATTTCTCAGTGGACCTGCACTTCAGTGCACAGCCTCTTGAAAAGGCAGAGACTGCAGGTATTGTGACAGACACTGAAACAATGAAAACTCAATGCAAATCAATGCAAGAAATATATATAAATATATTTAAGATGAGAAGATATTCCTGTGAGGGTTGGAGACCGGTGCTTCTCCTTCACTAGATGGACAGAAAGAAAGAACACTTGAAGTGACAGCAAGATTATGATGCTGTGTCAGACTGGAAAGCTTGTAGCCCTGCTACTCACTCAATGGACACGGCATTGGGATGATAGAAGGAAATCTCTCTAGTTTTTAAATCCCCGTTCCTAAAGGTAGTTAGCCGTAGTCAGTGCGACGTGTATGTGCTATGGTAAAAGAGTTCGGATCATTCACTGCCAACTGCTAAAAGATGGACTGACTTTTTTATCAGGGTTAAACCTCTCGCGATCGCTCTCTTCGTTACCAAGCTCAGTTGTTTTATAATGCAAATGATGGTAAAGAAGCATTTACAATCCAATTGATTTCAGTCACAAACATGCAATCATGCAACATGTAAATTTTTACTAATTAGTTTTTTTAAGAGATAATTTAATTCTAATAGACAAACATAACCTCTATGGAGTGTTTTTTTCTTTGTTTGGATAACAATTACGACGGATAACCAAGTTGTCTTTTTTTATTTGTTCTTGGTGTTCTTGACATTGTCCAGCACAGTGCCTATACTGTATCATGGTGGAGAGAGAAATCTGAGCACTCCATTAAAGAAACAACAACGTATGTAGGCTGCTATGGAATGTATAAGACAGATACCACCATGCATCAAAGCACAAAAAAAAAAGCTTTTTGTGAAGATGATGGATGAAACTGTTTTTTGTCCTTCATTGTCAAAAACAAAACAAAAAAAATCTTGTGGTTGCTTGATGTCTGTACATGATGCAGCCTGCTGTACTGGCTTGTTTTTACTCGTCCTGCCCTCTTCAAATGGAACTGAAGGCCAATCAGAACGGACAGAGGATAACCATCGTTCACTGGCAGTTGTGACTTCGACAGAAATCTGAAGATTGCTGAAGATTTTGGACTGGTTTCTTGAAAGGTGATTGGAAATATATACTGCATGTTTTCCACTGTGCCACACACCTTGACTATCAGCACTTCTATGTGTGTGTGTGTGCCAGAGCATGCCGTCAGATCAGCGTGTAAAGGACTGGAGACGACTGAATTGTGCTTCATTATTGTTCGGTTACCGGCACATATATATATGTGAGTCTAAATCCAAATTCTGTTGTAAAAAAAAAAAAAAGAATCTGTATCAAAATGTGATTTTGACGATGAATCAGATGGAAATGTTCCTGCAGGTAAAACTCTAGCTCCCATACAGCGTCTTGTGTGGGATCTGAAGATAGTAACTTTTCCAGTAACATGCTTTTCTACATGCCTGTATGAGGGCACGTCGGAGCAATTTAGACCTGAGCCATCACCGGTGTGGATATTATGTAAAGTAGCAGCAGTATCTTGTGATGTCGAATTAAAAAAAACTAACAAAAAAAAAAAGTTACAGTGGAGTGAACAAACAGTATCTGTGCCAAATGGAGCTGAATATATATATTTGATCAACCAGCATAATATCAAGGAGGCAACTGTTTTGTAAAGTTTAAGTTGTGCTTTGATTTGAGTTCTTTATCCATCAGCTCACCCAAAGAAATCCTCCTCTCTCGTTGTCAGCAGCTCAGAAACAAAACGCTGCAACCTCATTCAGTCTCCATCAGACTGCGAGTTTTTTCTGCCGATGTTGCCAAATTCTAATCTTTCTGTCTCTCCACATTAAGAAGCTGCGACATTGAAGTTAACTGTACTGTCAGTAACTCAAATTTTTAGACGTGAGGTTGAGAGATTTCTGAAGCTACACATTAACAGGGACCACATGAATTAGAGTTGTGCTTGTAATGCTTTATAATCCAGGGTTTAAATTGATGACAGTTTGTCATCACAGGTGCTCTGTGTCATATTCAATCTTGGAAAGGGTTTCCGTTTTCTCTGGGATCCGATCACAGCTGTGGGGTTTCAGACTTGCCCTCAGCTGAATGTGAGCACTTTATAGACTTCAAAGCCTGTTGTGTCAAAGATGTAGAAGTAAGGGATTTGGGTATGGCAAATTAGACATTTAAAAAAAACAAACAATCTCTGCACTGGAACACAGGTATAATTTCCGACAAGATGAAGCTACACCACTGCATTAAAACATTTGTTTGTGACACTTGAAATGGAGAACGAAGGCTTACATGTGATTGAGAGAAACGAGAGAAAAGCAGAGAGAGTAGAGACACAAAGAGAGAAACGCAGGACAGTAAGATGGTGATATTTCTCTTCTCGTGCTCAATATTATTTGTTTACATTTTTAAGTATTAAACAGCTGTTTGGGTCTGTTACTCATTGTGTATAGTTCTTCTTTTCATTAATAAACAAAAAAATCATACATTTTGAAAAAAATAAAGACTCCTGATTTGATTATTTTTGTCATAGCAGCTGTGTAGTGGATGCTGATGTGGGCTTGTCGAATGGAAGTTTGTAGCTAATGACCGAACAAAAGATATGTTTACTGAATCACTGGGCGTGTGTGTTACGTAATGTGTGCTATAAGTTTCTAGAGAGTGCATGTGTTGGTGTGTCTGTTTTCACCTGCTGCGTTCCCACGCACGCACACTCCCACACACACAGTTCTATCTGTAAGTGAAACACACTCAGAGGTTTCTGTCACTCTGAGTTATTCATCCACCAACATCATGACTGGAAGAGTTGTTTTTCTGGGACTTCTGCTCATCTGTGTGGCTGCAGGTAAAGAAAAGACATTTAGTCTTAGGTATTTTTACAGTCTAGTTGTTACAGGTTAAAGATTGAACCGTTAGAAACGTTTAGATGCCACAGAATGACACATGCAGTGCCTATAAAAATATTCAGCCCTACGAGGAAGTGTTCATGTTTTATTGTCTTACAACATTGTTAACATTGATCAATAAAAAAATACACCGTCAAAGTGAAATTGAGAGAAATATACAACTTTTTGTATGCTTTTTACAGGCACTGTACAGTAAAATCATTTGTACGTCAGTATTACGCACACACTTCCTGTATTTATTATCTTTTAACAATAATAGATTATAAATATCAATAACAGGAACTATAATGACTTCTCTCATCACAGCATAGATTCACATAATTCAGGTCTGGGTGTATGGTCAGTTTTGCATGCTATTGATATGTTTTATTCATGTATAACGCTAGGTTGCTTATGTGCTTGCATGTAAGCCAGGATTTATGGGGTATGAAGTTCATTTGCTTTCGTTACAGATGCTGAGAAGAACTCTGGACTCCTGAGAAAGGTGCTGCACCTTGACTTAGCCGTGTGTGTGTGTGTATGTGTGTGTGTGTGTGTGTGTGAGAGAGAGAAAAGTAATATTACTGAATCATTTTTAAGCATTTTATTTATATTGTGGTGACTGAAGGTAAGTCACACCACCCCCTGTGTGCTTTGTTGTTTATTGTCCGGCAGCCTTCCTGCCCTGACATGGAGATCGTGGCGTGTCCTCTGAACCTCGCTCCTGTGTGTGGCAGCGATGGAAACACCTATGCCAACGAGTGTACCCTGTGTGCAGAGAGACAGTGAGTACTCACAGCTGCTCCTCTCTCACAGTATTCACACATTAACACCACCAAAAGCAGACTTAATGGAGGATGCCACAGTTGCCCCCTGCTGGTGAATTAATTTATAGACTACAGTCACAGTGTGAAGTCATTGGATGACTACAGCAACTGATTCAAATGACTGGAAATGTTCCTGTTCAGTCTATTATTCATCTATTGGTCAGTACAAGAAAATGATCATGTCTTTGTTGAACGAATCATTATAAAGCTCTACATTTCAGATTGTTTTGCATTAGTACTTTTTACTTCAGTGTGACAAAAATACAGGCAAAACAGATTTTCCAATTAAATATACATGGATGGCTTAAAGATTTCTTTTGTTTGGGGCACCTCTTGCTGATATCATCTCCAAAACTCTCCAAATTACACAGAAGCTTCTAGAGAGGAATAATATGTCTCTTTTTTTACTCTTTTTAGAACGTTTGTTTCTGCTTGTATTTCTCTGTCTCTTCATGTTATTAATATTCTTTTAACCCTATTGCAGACAATTTACTGTATTAAAAATCCTCATTGATGGCTTCATTTACTATCTCTCCACCATTTCTCGACTTTGCTTCCACATTCATAGTGAGTTTTGATTTTGGTGTTATGATCCATTTTGCAGAATGACCAAAATGGACATTTTAATTGCCAAAGAGGAGAGCTGCTGATCTGCGCAGGAGATGAATCAGGATCTGACTATCTACCCAACATGGATCTTTAAAAAGACCTGAATGTCTGTGTCATTGCAATGAGTAATAAATGTCCATAAGCAGTAAACAACTGCCTGATGTGTTGTTATTTTTTCATCAATAAAATCCCACTAGGTCTATTAAGAGATCTGGCCAGAAGGACTAAAAGAGAAGCTACAACATAATCTGAAAAACATTCCTTTGTAAAGTGAAGGCAGGAGGTGAATGATCGGTTGGTTATCTCTGTGGGAGAGCCAAATGTTTACACTCCTTATACTGAGTAACACACAGCTCAATGATGTGTGTGTGTGTGTGTGTGTGTGTGTGTGTGTGTGATAAAAAACAGTCTGAGCAAATGCATTGGCAAAAGAAGAAAGGCAAGAGTATGACAGAAGCACAGAGCGACACACTGGGAGAGAGGACATAAAAAACAGAGGAATCAAGTGTTGAATCGTGAGGACAAAAGGTCAATTCAGTCACATGATTGAAACCAGGAAACGGACAAGTGTTTTCAATCCAGCTGCTTCCTTAATCTTTACAGCACAGAAGAAACTAAGCCTTTAAGACTTTATGGACTGACTTATCAATGATGATAGAAAACCAAGTGGAACATGTGTGAGTAAAGACTGTAAATACTCGATGTCGGTCGGTTATGGTGTTACGCAGAGTTCAGATTGACAACCTGACTGTAGCAGTTTTAAATGAAGACAGGGCAACAGTAAACCTGTACCTGAGCTGATCATTATGAACTCACTTTATGAAATATTAATAATTGTTTACCTTGTTTGATCACTTTAGTTTAGTTTAGTCCATGCCATTCATTGCTGTTTGGTTCAGGTCAGTATTATAATATTGTCACTGTTTCTCAGGGTCTCCACAGCTCAGGAGTGTCAGAATGGGATCTCTATGGACCTCTTCCTGCATCTTTCACTCATACCAGCTGTGAGTCCGTCCGTTTAACATGGAATCTGAATATATGGCTGGAGAAACCCCGAACCATGTGTCTCTAAACCATCAGCTTTCATGAGCCATAAATAACAGCTAGCTTTGAGACTTTAAACCAAATAAAAATCCAATGGGTTTTATTTTTTTAACTTAATTTAGGAACGGGAATTTTCTAAACCAAAAAGACAAAATCACAAATACTAGGGATAGATGATTGATGATTACACATGGGTTCACAGTATAATCAAATGATAGTGTGTCTAGGAACACAGAACAACTACATTTTGGGCCAAATTAAAAATAACCTCAATTAGTAACACACAAATGAATTTGAAATGTATTTGTATTAATCTAACTTCAATTTGATCTGAAAAAACTGTTCAAAGTTTATCAACTTTAAAAAAAATGCTTCAGTTGGTAACACATAAATTAATTAAGTTTTTATCACAAATCAAGTTAATAAGTTAGATAAAAGTTGAATAAAGTAATAATTTTAGTAATTTTTTTAAGTTGGTTAGACAATTCTACTTTCACCCTTCAATTCAGTGGATTATCCTGCCACCTCAAACATACAATAAATATCAATTTATTTCCACTTTCACGCAGTCAGCGATGCAAACAAAGCACTGTTCCAGTAAGTTTGTTAATGCAAAGATTTCTTGTCCTCCAGGTGCTGATTGTAGGGATACTCTCATTCCTTCAGAAAAGAACCCAGAGACTGGGCATTGACCACAGACTGCCCTTCCTGAGGGGACGTTTTGCCATTGTAGTGTAAGTTTAGTCGAGACAAAGTAAAAACAGCAATATGTGTCTCAATCCCATAGCTATGGGCCCTTAAGCCACATGAGCAATATGGCTTTGTTTGTGTTTATGGTATTTTGTCGTTACTGTGCCCCAGGCCTTTGGATACTATAGGTAGCCTCAGTAATCGTTGGTCCTATGGATTTGCATTTGGTGCCGTGTCCTCCACCGTCCTGCTGCTCTTCTCTGAACGGTACATCCCGTTCACTGTCCCACCCTGGGCTAGAGGTACCCCCACTGTTTATTATTGTTATCCAGACTCTATATAAAAACCTATAATTTAACCATGTTGGCTGATGTTTCCTGATCATTCTCCGCAGCTATAGTGTATCTGATTGGAGCTTTAGAGGTGGGCCTGGCCTATTTCCCTTTCTTTGCCTGCCTGTCCACACCTTTCAGAGCAGCTGGGGCAGTCCTGGGAATACTCTACTCTCTGTCCTGGTAAACAATCATTATATGTTCAAACACAAGTCTCACAATGTAGATCAGCACAGCAAAAGGTTTATTTCACCTGTGTGTTTGCCTTTAAATAGCATGTAAAAGCATGCAACACTTCCACAATATATAAAAAGGTTGGGCTGTATGGACAGATGAATGGCTTATAAAAAGCCTTAGAAAACACATTGCATCTCTCTGCACTTCTCTGCAGGATCATCGTTACAGTCTGGGATATGTTCACCTGTCCTGGTGGTAAGGTGGGTGAGTATAAAATATATCAGTGTAAATATTCCTGTTGCAGCATGGCTTCTCCCAAGCAACCAGCCTTCTCCACCCAGTTTCAGCCCACCACACCTAAATATAAAACATTTATTTATTTATTGGTATTTTTGTTGAAATCGAAAAAAAAAAAATCAATGAATTAATAACTTTGTGTGTATGATTTTAAAGATTCTGGGTAAATACCAGAAGATTATTTTCGAGTGGCCCTGCGTCCTCTCCCTCATCTTCCTGTTGGGTCGATTTTCCTACATGTTGGTTAAAGCTGTTCGAATACATCTGCAACTGGAACAGGAGGTCAGCATAACAAATCTTTATTTGATACATCTTAGATAATTAACAGATTGACAACTTGCTGTACAGTAGTGGATACAGTGATAGATTTTTCTATCTGAATAATACATTGAATCTGCTGCCAGGACCCGGAAGAGCTGATTGAGCAACACCAGATGCTGCATGTTAAGAGCCTGCTGAGGAAAACACCTGCACGCAGGTAGAATGCACACTCATGCACTAATGCGTGGGGATTTTCACTTCTATCACTTGTTAAGGGTTCCACCATTTCTGCATTAATTATTATGTTATGCAAGTTTACCATAACCTTTTTCATCTCTTTTTTACTAACCTTTGAGTCAGCTATATATATCATTCATTAATAAGTATTTAAATCAAGATACAGAGTTACAACTTTGAGATTTTCTAAGTAAGATGAGTATTAACAGAAATGGAGTTGGAGACTGAAAATCCATCAAAGTGAAAATTATATCTGTCTAAACTCGACCCTTCCTTCTGTGTTGCAGTAAGCCCCTCAGCTGGTTCCAGCGCAGAGTGTATGAGTGGGACCCCTACTTCAAGTTCCCCAACAGGATCATCGGCACTACCATTATATCCCTTATAGGCCTGTATACGGTAGAGAAAGACATATCTAAACCAAATAGCTCATCCATACACTTTGTTTGGGAAAAGTGTTACGGAAAACATCTCATCTGTGCATCTGCTGTCTTTTTGTCATTATTCTAGATGACCCTGGTAGACTACAATCTCAGCAATGTGGTTTTTGACAAAGCAGAGAGTTGGAAGAATACACTCAAAGAGCTGGTTACTTCTTGTAACCAGACTGAAGCTCTGGGCACCTTGATACCACAGCTAGAAGAATTCATCGATGTGGCCAGGAGTGAGTTGGCCTGCGCCCTCCACTAACAGTCTGTTGCATCCATTATCTGTGTGATCAATGCTCCATTCATCAGACATCAGACAAGTTACATCCTACTGCCTTGATTCTGAACATTTACAATTAGAAAAAAGCTAAAAATCAACACCAATTATTTATTTTTTTAGTGTATTTTTTGGAACAGAAAGATAACCCCCATATTAACCTGTACAGAGGACAGAGGAACACCATCATTTGTAGTCATAGTTAACTAAAACTAAACAAAAAAAGTAACACAATGTGTGAAAAAAAGCTTTTAGTAAACTGAAGTAAAAATAAAAACTACTAAAGACTTCAGAAAAACTGAAATTATGTTGTGTACTTGCAACGGTAAAATAAAATAAAAATTTGGTCAAATTTGTCAGGACAACAAGCATGAGGAGGTATTGGTGGATATATTTATTAAGACTGCGATGTCTGTATGACTTGAACTTGTATTGTAATACCTGATATCTTAATAACTGACCAATACCCCCATATTAAAATTTTAAAAAACCTAAAACTAACGAACGAAATTAAAAATAAGAAACTGTAATAACTGTTAGTCATTTATTTTTGATGGTCAAGAAGACTTAATGATACACGAAGTAAAGTTAAGTCAAGCCAGGTGTTGTTATTTCTTTCTTTTATTCCAGAGGCTTGGCTCGCTACCACCATCTTTGCTAGTCTCAACACCTTGGCCTACACCTTCCATGTCTTGAAATGTTACAGGTAAGATAACTAAAAATATCTGAAATATACAAAAAAGTACTCAAAGGTTAACTCACAAATGTACATTTTAAATCTTTGGACTGGAATTTCAAAAAAGTAAATGAACTAATTTAGTTTATGGGAGATAAGATGAAATTTCTCACCCAGTTATCCAAACTCCATGAGTGACATGGTTTACTGTCGCCACAGAAAACACTTGAAGAGACTGTGGAAAGGGCAGAAGAGTTTTCTCCCTGAGAAGTTTCACAACCCTAGCCCTGCTGTCAGCGTAGTAAGTAACACACACAAACACACACACACACACATCAGATGGTTCCAGGGCAAATCAAATTTCAGCTTGGCTCTCAAGACTCAAAATCAGCATTCACAAGTGTTACATTGGCCCCAGTTTAAATGTGTTTCCAGGTCATGGTATGTGTGTTAGCGTATGATCTACATATTTTATGGAAGATTTGATCCACATATTTTGAACCATAAGGCCTCTGCACCACACCAGCTATGCAAACACTTCATAATAATCACAATTTGGTTCTGTCTCTCAGCCCTCGTAATGAGGCTCCCAGAGTGGAAAACAGGCTCTACCAAACACACACATTTGCAAGTGTCTGAAATGTTTTAAGTGTGTGAGTGTGGATTTTAATGTTTTAAGTATGTAGAGTGTATGGGTATAAACACACAAACAAGTTTTCTCACTGAATTTTCACAGGCTTCCATCACAAGATACTCTGGGTGGCAAATAGCGTTCACGCTATGGGGTAAGCTTTTCAGCTTTTCAGAAAAACATGAAGAACTGACATGTACATGCTTTCAAACCAGAAACAGCAGCTGAGCAGATGTTCTGTGTTATGGGATTTCCTGCTTTTTCTCAACTGACACCGTAAGTGAGACCATTTCATTAGTCTAGAGGGAGAGAATGAGGGAGGAAGTTTCACTTAACGGGGAGTTTTAGGCAGTAATTAACTTTTCAGTGACCAGGCCCATGTAATGGAGACCGTTAAGTAAGTTCAACTCATTTTAGAGGTGCCTGTAAAACCATGCAAACCTCTCAGAGATAATGTCATTGGAGTCCCATGATGCTTTAAGTGGGGCTTCATATACTTTTCCAGACTGACGAGAAAATAGTGTTGAGAAAATCTCAAAATACCTGTCATTTTGTTATTTGTTATATGACAAATCCAAACAAGATCCGAACAGCTGTAGCAGACCTTCAGAAACCCACATCACATCACACCCTTAGACACATTTTAGTGTCTTACTAACAAATGTGTTTGCAGGGTAATGCTTCACTCAACCAGTGCATTTGTCGATAGCAGCCATGTTTATATTGGTTGTATTTGTGCATATTTGTTAATGCCCTATCACACAGAAAAGAATAGTTTGGAGAATGGAACAGATTTATTTTTTTTAAGCTGCACAGTCCTACTGCATGAGTAAAATATTAAGATAAGCAACATTAATACAGACATATTATGTGACATAACTGGATGTCTCTTCTGCATTTTCTTTTCAGGCTACCTGATTGTCCATTTTATCCACTTCCTGTTTGCTCTGCTGTTCGTCTATTTGCTGGTTCTTCCTATACAGCATGGGAGAGTACTGAGCCTGCTCAGCAACCTGGGAATTATACTGTAAGGCTGCTCTCCCTGTGGTTGTGGATTTATTAATGGATGGCTAGATTGATTTTATCTCTCCTGTGTCTCTCAGTCTGACCATCGGTCTGGTGATGGCCCTGGTGATTCTCCAGATTATTCTGGTTCAGATCTTCTTCCTTCAGGACAAAATGTCTCCTACCGATAAAAACAAACCTCTGGCTCTCAACAACAGGTGGGTAGAGGGAGGGAACTCACAATAAAACCAAGGTCCTCTTTTACCAGCAAACACTGTTGAAAAGTGCTGGTGATGAAGGCCAAATGTCATGCTAAAGCCATAAACATGCACTCTCTCACTTACTCAGTAGTGTGATAAACAAGTAGCTAAACAGAGCTTTAATGCCCATGTGTCAAATGTTAATAGAACAAGTGAATATGATTGAAAGTAAATCCATACGGTGTAGTAACTTTCTCCCCCACCTCTTCAGGAAGGCGTTCCACTGCTTCAACTACTTCTTCTTTTTCTACAACGTGGTGATGGGAATCAGCAACTGCATATTGAGGTTGCTGTGCAGCATTGTGGTGGGAACATGGCTGGTGTCCCGCATAGACCGGACCATTATGCAGAGAGGATATGAAGGCATGGATGCAGGTAAGCTGAACTCCAAATGGGATGTACAGTTTGTGTGACAAAAGAGAAATATTGTTTTAACAAATTAAGAAGAACTGATTTCCAGAGTCACCACAATAAAATATTACAGTCAAACCTAAGCTAACCCTGGTTCATCAGGGTTCAATTATACATTGAGACTTTGATTCCTCCTGGAGTATTTTAGTCTGCTGTGTCCACCTTTTCCAGTAGATGGCAGCATTTCACTGAGCATCAGTGGAGTTCGTGTAAGATAAAAAGTTAGTGTGATAACTGGGAGGGAAAATGTTACATCCTGTAGAGTATTTACTAAATGTATGCTTCAGTCATGGATTTTGATAACTGCCAGTAATACATTTAGTTCAATTTTTAGACGATATTTTATAATAGAAAAAAAGAAATAGAGAGAACACTAATGCTATTTGTGACAGCTGGGAACAACTTTCCTGGGCAATAAATGAAAATATGACAGAGAAAAAAAATTTTTACATTTGAACTTTATAAAAACCAGCCATACATTTGTTGTTGTTGACAACTAAACATCTGAAACACTTCAGGTTGTAGCATATAATTCACAGTCATGCATCTGTTAGTTTTTCCTCAGTTGTGCATCGTCCACATATTGTTAAAAACACTGTAAATGCAGTGTTTCTTTCTCATATACATTAAGGTGTGTATATCCAACAGTATTTCTTGTATGTTCCAGGCTACAGTACTTGGATTGGGATGATCTTTGCTGACCACTACCATAATAATCCAGTCATGGTGTGTTTCTGCCAGCTGCTGGTCTCCAAAACGCCAGAGAAACAAACTGCATCTTCATACTCCACATTCAGCAACACGCCATCTGGTCAGTAGTGTGTGTGTTTGTAGCTGTTATATGAACAATCATCCACAGATTACCACTAATGCACTGAGCTTGTTACCAAACTAGTATCTTCTTTTAAATATTTCACTTTATTGCATTTATGCAGATTTGTTTGATCTTGCCAAATTTAATCTAACACAGATTTATGTTTTTATCAGAATAAGTCTTTTTTAAAATTGTTTGTGGATTTGTTTTTTCATTCATAATTTTTTCTTAATTTCCAGTTAATTAACTTAAGACTTTTTTCCAGAGTCCTCTGTGAATAGCCGTGCCAGGAGGCGTTGGATGTTGTTCTATTGTTTACTGAGGAACCCTCATCTGATCCTACTCAGAAAGCACCACCTCTCCTCATCTTCATCACTACAGACACCATCATCTCACCAGTCAGAAGCAGTGGTGCACGCCTGGGTCATGGCATCTCAAACACAGAGTCGCCAGGCAGTGTCACAGTCACCACCGGAGATCATTGTCACACCAGCAGAAAACTGTTGAAGAAACATTTTTCATTGATTATGATCTCATTAAAAATTTATTATTGGAGGAACTCAATGTTGTAGAAGGAGAACTGACAAGTTTTCAAGTTTTTTCAAAGGCTGACATTTCAAAAAGGTTTGGCAAAGTCAATGAAGCTGATGCTGTTTCTTGTCACCAAAACATACTTCACTGACAGCACTCCTAAGGGAAACACTAACATCTGACTGACAAGATATCATTTAATTAATATGATCAATTATTTGCACATAATCATAAGCTTTAACATCTATTCCACAAATAGATATCTCTCTCTCAACTTTTTTTATTTGTTCAAAATTTCTTGAGCTGCACAACACAATTAATCTGCACTGAACTACACAGTCATTCTAGGTTTGTGTCATAAAATGTAAACTGGTATATAAATATTTATGCATGCTGCTGTATATTCTCAATAAACTTTTGGACAAAGAAAAAAAAAAGACTTGTATTTGAACACTGTAAATATAACTTTGCTGGACAAGCAAATGCTTTCAGTTGGAAATGGTTAAAGCTGTTGGTGTGATTCACTTTAAATTGTAAGTATAGTGTCCATCATTTGGAAGTTTAAGATTTCCGACAGCACTTAAAAGCAGCATATTTTCGCAATTC